TAAAACCTTATGTGACAGCTGTATGTCAAAATAGATGTATTTTTAAAACTCACAGCATGTGATGAGTGCATTTCTGTTTCCAGTTCAGGCAGCCTGGATCTGTCATTCCAGTCTCATGATTCAACATCTCCAGCAGCAACACCAGACATGGACCACCCACCCATTCTTATTATGCATGGTCTATTGGGATCAAAATCCAACTGGAACTCACTGTCAAAGTCAATCCATCTGAAAACAAAAGAGAAAGGTAACAGATGTAAAGGTACAGTGCCACTGACATGTGATGCTTCACATTTCTTGCAAGACTCAGTTGATACAGTAAATGTCATTGTGTTGAACTTGATGTGATGCACACAGTCCTGCAAAGTTAATATCTGTTTTGATTGTGCTGATCCCTTTCTGCACTGTGTCTTTGGTTTCATCAGGCTAGCATGTGTTTGCCATCTCCATGGTGTTTTGGGGGCTTAGGAAATAGATAGTAAAGAGCAGGAATGCAATTTGTCATAGAAATTATTGATTTTGTCATGCATGTTCTTAAGGCCAAAAATGGTGCAGTGTTATGTCAGGTCAGCTAACTTCAAACCCTGAAGGTATGCAGAGTGGCATGCATGGGAAGCATGGTGTGCAAGAAGGCAATAGATATGCAAGTGTTCAAATTTAAATCAAAGTTCTACACTTGCCACTGTCATGGCAAGTGTAGAATGCAATCATGGCATGTGATTAGCTTTGGTGTATTGTTTTACATTTTGAATATCTGTGTATATGCCTCAGAAGACATGATTTGAGTGTAATTGTGATAAGGATAGTCATCATTAACTATGTACCATTGTCATTGCATGAGCTGTTTGAGTAGTGTTCAGATGGTAGGTTTCTCACCAAGCTATGCTAGTTGTGTGAATATGTGACCACCACCACCCAATATTCCTAATTGTGTGGTAGTTTTGCTCCAGACTGTTCACCAAATAACAGTGAATTAAATGTGCAATGCTGTGTTATGTACAGTTTACCATGCCTATGATGAAACTTTTGACCCCTTGTTGGTGAAACACTGCCTTACCACGTGGCACAGATCTCATCCATGGTGGTTGCCACTGGTTTGAAAAGAAATCAAGTGTGCCATCAATTTTGCCCTAAAATGTCCAGAATCAGCTCAGGATGACAACTTGTCACCAATTTCACACAGACATCCCACTGTTACATTGTACTGTACTCATTAGGTCATTACTTATCCAAAAGCTGAAGTAGCACCTTTTTACAAGCATAAGGTGAGCTTAATGTGGATATTTACTAGACAACATGGAGATCTTAAACTAGATGTTATGTTTTTTCTTTGTATTTCTCAAGCTTTCCACTTGACCTTACTTTCTATTGTGTGTGGTTTGTTACTCCAACTTGACTGTAGGCTGTAAGATGAGGGACTCCTGTTACTGTCTCACTTGATGGGCACATGTAAATGGGTTCTGACTTGTTTCATGCTTTTGCATCAGGTCTATGTCACACATCTGCATTGATTTGGAACAGTTTGGATGGGCATTAAATGACATGTTGGTGTTGTACAGGTGATCAACATTGATGCAAGAAATCACGGGGACAGTCCTCACTCTGAGCAGATGGACTATGATGTCATGGCCCAGGATGTCATCAAGTTGATAGCTGACCTCAAACAAAGTAAAGTCACCCTGATGGGACACAGCATGGGAGGAAAAACAATGATGATGGTGGCTTTAAACAATGTAAGTACCCCAGGCATGCTCCTTTGTGTAACAGATCTGTGCCATGTTTTGTTGAGCAATTACTTTCCATAGTTTGTCCTTTTGCTTCACAATCCCAATTTGGACTCTGTCAGGGATTTTATAATCAAGTGTGTTCACTACCTTTCAGTTGCATGCATGAGCCCTGCTGCTGAAGCCACTCAGACCACTGTAGCCCCACCCTGATGCTCCCACTCCCCGCGTGGCCCTTGGTCCCGACGCGCCCTGACCGGCGCCGCGTCGCCCAGCCGCGGCTCGTCTCCAGCCTGGTGGTGGTGGACATCGCGCCCTGCACGCGACCCGCGCGCCGCCTCCGACATCCCGGGCCTGCTGGATGCGCTGGCCGGTGTGCGCGTGACGTCCGGCCGGTCGCAGTGGGCCGTCAGGAAGGAGGCCGACGGCCAGCTGGAGCGAGCCATACCAGTCAGTGGACACACCCACAGGCTGGGCACAGGCACGCGGTGTTGTTGGAGGTCGTCAGTCTGCTTAGGTCACTCAGTCGTCGAGTCAAGTTACAAAACGAGATGAACTTATGGCAGAATAGGTGCGCAAAGTTCCCCCGGGCTCCCCCTGCCACTCCGTTTCCTTTATCACGGTGTGTTTGTTTTTATGCTTATGGAGCACATTGGTATTGAGTCAGTTTGGGTGCGGACCACAGACCACAGATAATAAGAGAACGTGATGCCTCTATGGCTGGAATATTTTTGCCGCCTATCGTCAAGCCGCGTGAAGCAGGCGTCACATCGGCATGGTGCAACCGACGCTGTTGCCGGTAGTGTTGGTGGAACCTAGGGCCATCCTCTGGGGTCGACGTCGGCGCCAGTTTTTGGCGCGACTTTGGCTGACGGTGGCTTGTCCTCAGGACAAGTACCTGCGCCAGTTCCTGCTGACGAACCTGGTGGAGGAGGCGGGCGTGGTGCGCTGGCGTGTGAACCTTCCGGTTCTGCAGCGGTCCCTGCCGCGCCTGGCGGCCTTCCCCCGACCCCCGACGGCCACGTACGAGGGACCAACGCTCTTCGTCGGCGGCCAAAACTCAAACTACATCGAGTAAGTGTTTACATATAATTCTGCCTGTAGTGTGGAGAGTCCACGCCACTCCGCAGGGGCGGATCCAGGAATCCAGGAGGCATTGGATGGCGGACGCACTTCTGAACGTTTTTGACTCGGATCGACATTATTACCACTAGTTGTTGTACATGAATCATAAAGTGGTGCCCTCCCCCCCCCCCCCCCCCACATCTATATTTCAACTGTATCCTGTCTGGCTTCCACTTTCTCGTATTTGGGCGTGCCTGAGGTGCAAACGATTCAGATTATGCCAAAGCATTTATCCTAGAAAATTATCCGCACATGTTGGTCTGGGTAGTTTCGCTGCCGCCAGCGCTCTGTCGGGCGACAGCCTCAAAGCCCAGGCAATCTTTCGCCACATGTTATCTGGCATGCACGGACAAAACGCTGCACAATTTCAGAACGAGAACCTATTGTTGCGCCCTTGTTCTCGTAACTGAGTCACCAGTGCGACTTGGTTGGCGACAACGGCCTCCATGGCGTACAACCTTTCGGTACTGGCCGCGGACTACTGCTGAAACAAATCAGGACGCTGCTGCCGCCAAACGCTGCTACTGTACTGTGCTGCTGCAGCATAGGAAGATAAATCAAGAGATCTGCCATCCAAAGGCAAAACGGCCTATGAGCAATTAGTTGACATGGCACTTAAGCATTTTTGCCTTTGGATGGCAGAAATGTCGGGCCTGCATGCAAAGGGACAACGAATTGATAACCCATTGGTACGTCCAGAACACCATACAGACGTAGCCAAAAAGGGAAGTTGCATTCGGGAATCACTTCCATTGTGCTCACAAACCATAACAGCCCCCAAGGACAGGTTTAAAAAATGATAAGAAATTGTTGCGAAATGTTGCACAAGCCCCGTTGAAATGCGACGGATACAAACTCACTATCTAAATTGACCTGAGGTACCTGGACTAGAAAAGTTCTGGAAATGAATAAACAACGCAGGAACATCAAAATTAAAGTAAAAAATGTGTTAAATGCATTTTCCGCTCCATCGCCAAAAGTAAAAGTATCTCCTACACTCATCACCATTCGCTAGCCATCACTAATGGCAGATCGGCTGCCCGGTGGGCCAGTGACCAAGTCGCTGGTGCCGGGCCTGGCTGGTCGCTACCAACCTGGGGTCAACGTTCAGGGGCTCAACGCAGCACTGGAATGGCTCGCGGACCGTTGGGAACAGCCGCTCCTTACCCAAGAAATTAAACAATGTTTCGCTCGTGCGCTAATATGCTCAGACGAAGCGCGCCGACCAACACTGCACGTGGCGAGTAGGCACGTCAAGACCACCTCCAACCCCAAGTGAAGCCACGCGATTAGTCTGTGCATCCTGCATGCTGCACATTAGTCCTGCATGCAACGTCGTCTGCAGTAGTCGCTATGTTCTGAATGGGGCTCACAAGAAAAGGCAGGTTTAGTACTACTATGTAGTACTATACCGTGTGCCCTGTATGACATATTGAGTCACTCTCATTCCCTGGTGATGCGTCGTCCGTGTTTTTTTTCACGCAGTCTGAAGTGCAATCCCCCTTCCCGAACGCATTCGCAGCTTGCCCAATGGTGTATATGCGCCTCCTGCCGCGCCCCGCGGGATCTGACCTGTGTGGCCCTTGATGGCGGCCTGTCCCGCGCCGCCGCTGTGGCCTGACCTGTCGGCCCGCTGGTGGTGCCACCTGCCCCGCCCCTGCACGACGTGACCTGCCGCCGGCGTTGTTGGCAGGCCGTCGGCGCAGGACGAGATCCGCGCCCTGTTCCCAGCGGCGCGGTTCATCTGGATCCCGGACGCCGGCCACTGGGTTCACTCGGAGCAGCCGGCCCGCTTCCTGGAGGCTGTCTGCCCGTTCTTAGCCTCGTGACCCTGGGTCACGGCTCCGGCCCCGCTCGGGCGGGACGGGCTGTTGTGAGCAGCGCCGTCGGAGCTTGTCCGGGCAGATAGCGTGCACACCGCATCACCTGTGTTCTCAGCTCATGCGCCGTGCATACGCGGTGGGTCAGTGCAATACCACGACACCTGAGCCTTGCTGTTGGTTGTGCAGTTTAGTTTGATGGTGGCGCTATTGACGATAGAAGTTCAGCGGTGTCAATACCGAGGGTATTGGCGCCATGGTGGAATGGCACACATTGATTATGTTGTCTTTAAATGCAGTCGTAGTGTCGTTTCTCAATACATGCTCTGTGGGTAGTTCATTGATTATATTTGAAAGTGTGCAGCTCACTTGTCCATTATATCAGATCTCCCATCACTATATCACAGATACCACCAGTCGTTGGGCCCACGCCAATGTGGTTACGCGGCTTGCGGCATGGCCATCTAGCCGAACAGAAAACAACGATAACTTAGTGAAACGTCGCCGCGCGGCGCTACGATCGACCGAAGAGACGCATGATCGATATGCGTCCCCTGGGCGGCGGTGCGGACGTTGTACTGGGATCGGTGCTGGATTTCCGTTCGGTGCGACTGAGTTTCTTCTGAATCTCTGCGTCGAGAAGTTCCTGCATGTCCGACTGAAAAGTCAAATGAGATTTGTTAGAGCATCCATCTTCAAATTCGCCCACGCATGGCGTGGTGGCTTCTAGTGGCTTTAAGAGCTCGCTGTTCGCCGCTTATTGGGATGGCCTGTGGGCGGTGGCAGTAGCCGCGCTAAAGGTCAGGTGACAAAGAGTAGGGTAGACCTGGCCCATCTTCACTGCACGTCAAACTTTCGCCGCAAAATTCTGCCGTTGACTTGGAATTTCTCGATCGGCTGGTGGGATCAGTGCCCACGCAACTAAGACTGCTTAGCGTGGGCCCTGATTCCAGAAATCAATCCAGTCAAAAGGGTCGGACTTGATGTTATCGCTGATGAACACCCTGAAAATCAGGCAGGTGACGCGATCCTGCCAGCGCGTCTGTCGTGTCTCGGTCAGCCCGCCGGTGTCGCCACCCGCCGGCCTGTCGCGAAGCTCTCACCTGCCACTGGTCCAGCTGGCAGGAGAGGCGCACCTTGTGCTGAATTGACTCGAGAAGCTGCGAGTTGGTCTGTAGCACGTCGATGCGCGCCTTAGCCAGCTCGAGCTCAGCGGCGCTCTTCCTGCGGACGGCCTGGTCCCGCGCCTCCCACGCCTGCGGGCATGACCCCGAGGTCAGCCCGGCCGAGCTCGTGTGGCCGAGACCCGGACACCAAGCTGAGACGCACCCGTCGGTCCTATGGTCGGGGAGCGGGAGGGGACACCCCTGATCGGCTCGGGCCTTGACCACACGCCGGAAGGCGGAAACCCCCGGACTGGCAGCTGGGTCACACCCACGCCTGTCGCGGACTGAGGGAAACCTCTGGAGCGGCCTATCTCAGGGTAAACCAGCGTGGAAGCCAACACCCACCTGAGCGGTGCTCATCTCAGACACTTGGCACGTGTCGAAGTCGGAGTCTGAACCTCGGCTGCCATGCTTAGAATATTTCGCTGTGACGTACAACCTGGCTTCAGTCTACAGTTGGTTGTGCCGGATGAGTGAGGTCTCCGAAGCGTGCATGTATTGCACACAAATGCCTACCTTGCGGACGAGGTCATCTTTCGCCACGTACGCCTCTTGCAGCTCGGTGGACAATACGTCCCTTTCTTCTTGTAAGGCTATGCATTGTTTCTCCCTCATAGCCAGCTGAAATATACATGACATACATGGCAAGCGATATCAAACGTGTGTTTGTTTCATGAGAAAAGCAGACCGTTTGTACATCATAACCTTTAGATTATTTGACGCCTTCAGAACTCGCCATAGGGTACATCGAGTTCCGACGCAAACACCGTCGGCGTGAAACTGTGACTTTTCTCCGCTGCATTGTGATTTCAACCAGTTACCTCATCTAATTTCCTAGACGCTTTTCACGACTTCACTAACGACCCTGACACAGCTAATTGCATTTTCCTCGTGGGGTATCATCATGTTAAAGGGGGGGGGGGGGGGTATGAGAGTTACTTCTGCGTAGATTGTTTCGGGATGACGATTTTGCCTCCAGCTGAGCCAGCCTCTGCTCCAGAGTCTGTCGATCTCAACTGGTGGCTGTGTCTGAGTTGGACGGCTCCTGCTCCTGAGGCTGCCCACCCCAAATGGTGGCTGTGTCAGATCAGCTGAATGATCCATGGTCTGCCCATCTCACCCAGTGGCTGTGTCCGACCATGTGCTCCAGAGCCTGTCCGACCATGTGCTCCAGGGCCTGTCCGACCATGTGTTCCAGAGTCTGTCCGTCTCTCATGGTCACCGTGCCTGACCAGCTCCTGACCGTAGCCCGGTCGTCTCACCTGGTGGCTGTGCCGGGTCACCTCCTGCTCCAGCTGCTCCAGGGTCTGAGTCTGCTGCTGGTGCTGCTCCTGCAGCTGGTCGTGACGCCGCCGCACGGCCTGCAGCTCGTCCTGCAGCGGCAGCCGGGCCGGCCGGCCGCAGCTGGGGCACACCTCGGCCACCGCCGGCAGCAGAGGCTCCAGCCTGGCCCGCGCCGCCGCCACCGCCGCTCGCAGCTGCCCCGGCTACGGTACAGAGGCCGCGTCGCCGATGACGGCAGGGAAGGCACCGTCGGCGCGCCGTGAACAATGACACAGCGGCCATCGTAGGCGGCTCGAAGGCGGCCTCCCGGTGGCGAGAGGTTCACGCAAGCACACCTGAGCGGCTCGGTCACATTAGTTTGTCAGAACTGCCGCCGAGAACATTGTCATGGATGGGTTGTTCACAGGAAACCCTCGAAAGAAGCTCGCGGCGCTTTTCTTAATATACTCGTGTCTGTGTGAACTGGAAGCGACACTCCCGCAAACTGGGAGCATCGCGGCAGTGGGCGTGGTTCCGAACACGTACGGCAGCTCTGTGTACCTGGTAGCCTGATGTCGCCGGTGTTATCTCGGTGAGCTCCGGCGCCGGCTCGGGCTCTGCCTGGCTGGCTCGCAGCAGGTCCACCAGCTCCCGCAGCTGGCCGGCCGTCAGAAGCGCCTCCCGGCGAAGCGTGCGCAGCTCCTCCGAGCCGACCTCCGGCACCATCGGCTCGTCGCACTCGACGCCGTCTCCGAGCTCCATTAGCGTCACCTCCCCCGAGGGCGGGCGGCTCACTGGCGACAGGCACGCCCCGCAGCGTGGCGAGGTCAAATGACGTGGACATGGTGACACTAGTCACATCATGAACCGTGGTCATCATCAACAAGCGCGGCGCATCTGAATCTACATGGACCGCCAATGCCTGCGCAGTCGCCTGGAAACGAAGCTCAGCGCTCAATTAGTGAGGCAACTGTTGGTCCTTGCTCTGTGGCCCAGCTCGGCTTGTCTGCATCGCCGGACGCTCGCCTGAGCCGATGCCCTCGTCCACGGACAAGTCGGCCGCACACCTGAGCCGATGCCCTCGTCCACGGCCGAGTCGGGCCCCCACCTGAGCCTATGCCCTCGTCCACGGAGAGTCGGCCGCTCACCTGAACCGATGCCCTCGTCCACGGACAAGTCGGCCGCTCACCTGAGCCGATGCCCTCGTCCACGGCCGAGTCGGGCCCTCACCTGAGCCTATGCCCTCGTCCACGGACGAGTCGGGCTCGTGCCGGAGCGAGCGGTTTGCGCCGGCGGCCGCCTCCAGCCGGCCGGCCAGCGAGCTGTTGGCCGCCTGCAGCTGGTCCAGCTGGCGGCGGCCCTGGCGCACCTGACCGCCGCGCTCGCGGCCCAGCCGCTCCAGCGCCAGCTGCCGCTCGGCCGATTCGCGCAGCTGGTCCGACAGCTGTGTGCGCTCATCCAGCAGGCAGCGCACGCGCCGCTCCAGCGCCAGCTGCTGCTCCCCTAGGCTCTGGATCTGTGCAGACAGGGGGGGGGGGGAGGGATAAGATCGCCTCCAGCGGCTGGTGTACTGGGAGAAATGTGCACAGGAGGAAGTGACTCGGAGTAAGTGGTGTGAGCATGCTCCAGCGGCTGCTACCCCAGCTGCCGTACGCGCGGGTAATACGCTGAGGACGAAAGTCAAACAATTTATAAATGTCTCGCAAACCCATTGATGCTTTAAGCCGATCCTCTCCGTGCCGCCAGCAAGCTCAATATTACATTTCAGAAATAGAGAGGATGAAGTTCGAGCCCCCCACCTCCCCCCCCCCCCCACCCCATCCCCCTAAGAACATATGTACAGATGTTGAGCCACGGCTGACGATGCCGTTCTGCTGCGGGTCTAAAAACAGAACGTGGCCTGCTGCTGTGTACGATGACAATTACGCCGTGCAATTTTTGATGTATTTGAATTTCATACATCCACTGGTAACTTATTCCTTGTAGGCTGTTGCAAAGTTTTGTGATGAACAGCAACAGTGCCCGTGCCTGCTTTTGCTGTCTATACTGTATTTTACAAGTAGCTGAGATACTTGAGACGTCTGCAGGGAAAAATTTCAGTGATATATTGGCTCCAAAACGGTAGATTCTGGGGAGCAGCTGTAAAGGCTTCAAACCGAAAATATTGTGTGACGTCACTAGGTGCCCATAACGTATGTGGCCTCCCGGTGGGCAGGTGCAGACCGGTGTCACTTCTAGCTGGCGAACAGAGGCTTGTCAAGAATAAGGCTTGGTTTCCGAAAACGTAAGGTATTTAGACACGGAATATTCAACATGTCCGTCTTATAGGAGTGACTCTTTCATTACGGGGTACCATTCTCCCAGAGTGAGTTGCAAGCGTTGCTGTGCTTATGCCACACTGAACGCATCCTGCAGTCGTACCTCTTCTCGCATCGCGTCCACGTGGGAGGTGTGGAAGTCGAAGCTGTCGCGCCGCCGGTCCTGCTGGCTCCTCAGCTGTTCCAGCTGCTCGGTTATCTGCTTCTCTCCCTTCATCGCCTGTGAAGCCAGACAGACGTAAACAGTGCGCAGAAGAGACGGCGGACGAAGAGATGCGAAAACTTTTACCGTCATGCTTGGAAAATGTCAGATATGCGCTGGACACGGCGGCATGAAGCGCAACATTGTCGCGTTTCGGCGTCATTATCTCCCACAACTTCGTTCAGAAGCCCTCAGTGATCCATAGAATCTAAAATACCTAAAAGTCAGGACCGAGGTCAGGCTTGTTTTGGCTCTACTGTTGCGGACCAGATTCCACTCCGCTTCGCTGCGCACGGGGTTGGTTCCAATGCTGGCTTTGGATAGCGATGCACAATGTTGAGCCGTCTCTAATTCTGAGTCCGTTAGCCAAGGCTCAATACCGGAACTGATTACGGTGGAGCCAATTCCAGTGGCAAGATTGGGCTCTACAAACTCCTCCAAAAACATATGCTACACAACAGTTCGTCTAGATCAGAGGTTTGTTAATATGGGACTGCTGTATCTTGCGTTCCATTTCTCACACATCCACAACGATTAAGATAAAACTATTAGTTGCCGCTCATGTTTCTATCTGAGTTATCTCATCAGTGGTTGCGTACAAAATGGTTTGTTGGTAGCCCAACGTTGTCACGACTGTCACGCGCGGATGCTCCGTTTTGTGGCAGGCTGGACGGGGTGCCACGGACCGGGTCCGCTGTGTCCCCCCGGGAGACCGGTGGACTGTTGTGTATGGCGGACCTCTGCAACTCCCTCATTGTGTGCGCGGTATGGCAAGCAGGCCGCTCCGTGCAGTGCGCCCGCCAAGAGCGTATACCGATGTCAGTATCCACCCCGTGTGCTGACCGTCAGTATTCTTTGACCGCCGATTCTCATTCGACTTAACCCGTGTGAGGGTTATTGTGATGTGTTGCTCTAGGTCGCTCAAACCGCCCTTTTAAGTATCGGAAACCTGAGAGGGGTGCTGGACACCTCTCGGCTCACCTCCGCATCGAGGCTCCGTGACCACTGTGGAAATAAAGGACACCCCTTACCGGTTTTTCGGCCCACATCCCCGGCCCCGATTCTCCGCTACGACACTTGACCCTGACCCCAACTCGGACCGCTTTCAAAGGACCGATTCTACCTTGCCTCAACAAAACGTGTTCGATTGCAGGGTCGGCTTAGATTCCACTGCGATACGAGCGCAAGTCTGACGACAGAATATGCGACGTTTCAATCGATTAAAACGAGCTGTTCATCTGCAGTTATCGTAGCTTATTATGGCAGTTACCAGCAGTCACTGGCTGTTACAGTTACTTCCTTATCACCAGAACGTGAAATTCGAAACCTCGATGATCTATGTGCCTAAGCGGATGTGTTTAATTCTAACCCCTGATTAACTCTAACCCTTCAGTTACCGATGCTAATGCCTTTTATCGCCGTTGAATATTTACGGTCTGAATTGTCTGCAGGCGGCGTCGAGTGATACATATAAATCTTCATCTGTCGTAACTTGCGGTAGCTTTTGGGGAGAATCTCGGGTGAAAATTTTAGTGGTGGGTGTCACGAACCACCGACAGCTCATCACATCCGATCGTGGTGCATACCGATTAGCACTGTTAAATATGTGAAAAGAGAAGAGATGACGTGAAAACTCACCAGCGGCAGTGTCTGAGATGAGATGCGTGACCGCAGAGTGGACATTACCCGTCATGGATTCTTCAGTTAGAAAAATCCCCTGACGATTATCTGGCGTTTATTCGCCGACTGCGGAGAGTTGGCGAGGGTACTCACGTCCCGGAGCTGGCGCGCTAGGCGCTGGTTCTGCTCTGTGATGTCCTCGATCATCTGGGAGCGCTGCTTCTCCGTGTCTCTCCCCGAGTGGTGCTTCTGCTCAATCTGCTGCCTGTCGGGGGCAGGGCCGGCGACACGGGTCAGTGGGCCGCCGCCGTCGGACAGACTCGGGTCAGGTCACCAGGGCACCAGCTCCCCGAGTGGTGCCTCTGCTTAATCTGCTACCTGTCGGGGTCAGGGCCGGCGACACGGGCCAGTGAGCCGCCGCGGTAAGATAGGTTCGTGTCAGGTCACCGGGGGCGCCAGCTGTCGTGTCTGACAGCCGTCCCCAGGCTGAACGTTCGCATGCTCTTCCTCACGAGCGTAGATTTATGTGACCGATACACTTGTTGGCCGATAGTACAGGGGCGCAGAGGTGCATGTGCCGGAAACGCCGCCCTACTCTTCCTCGCCGCCTCGAGGCGTGCACCGGATGGCGATCCAGTGGTGATGAGACACTGACCGCAACCTGTCGCCGTACTGACCTCACGCTGGCGATATCAGCCTGCAGCTGGACCACCTCCGCCTCGTGCTCGCCCTCCATGGCCGATATCCGCAGGCGCAGCAGGTGCCGCTCCTGCTCCAGGTCCTGCAACACACAAGGCCGACCGTCGCTGGTGTGCACCATACCATCGCGCTTCTGTATGTAGTCACCGCTCCTGTTCCAAGTCCTCTAACACGCCCAACTGTCAGTAGTGGCTGTCAAGTCACCGCTCCCGCTCCAGCTTCTGCAACGCACGATTTTCTTCAAAAACCGCGAAAATAATTTGCGTTGAT